TTAAGTAGTCAGACAAGTAGCTTACTTCTGTTTGAAGTAATGCGGCAGGTTGCACTTAGGTACTGTTAAGATGGCCGAGTGATGCTAGAATTAGATATTAGAGATATATATGTAGTTACAAATGTAATTTCAAAAACTCAATAAAGTACTAGCGTGACTGCTTATATTAATTAAAAAAAAAAAAAAAATTTGGCTGTTTTTCTTCTGCTTTCTTGACTATTTCTCTTGTTATATGTAACAAGGCAACCTCTAATGCATCTTGCTCTGTTAGTATAGTCACAATCTTATCTTCTCTGTCTAGTGTTAAAACAATTTTACTAGCTTGTTGAAAAACACTTTGTTGTTTATGCTATTTGCTGTCCAATATGCTCTTTTGATATAAGTTGTCATTAGGCTTTCTTTTTGGCCTTGTGTGCTACTCATATTTGTTTTATTGTTTTAAACACTAGAAAGTAACATAATAGTGCTTATTATTTACTATTATGTTTTATTTTTATGTCTTAGATTTGATCATCAATTTGATATAGCTCAATTTATATAATTTATATTTATTTGAATCTGATGCATGACATATATAACTCAATAATTATTAATTAGAATACTTGATAATAATGTCTGATTTTTATTATAAAAGATAGAAAGTAAACATTTTATATATTTATATTAAAATACTAAAGTTCTTTATTTAGTACAAAGAATGTGATTTTGAAAATAATTATTTACAAGATCAATTGTCAGAATTATCAAGAGTTTTAATTCAAATTAATAGACAAATAAAATATTTATTTAATTTTATTGTTTTATTTTTTTTGTAATCTTAATAAAGTTTATATATTAATGTATATATTTGTTTTGCTTTTTTTTAAATCAATTAAAAAATAATACTAATTTGATATATATAAAGCTCATATGCGTAATATATTAGCATAGGAGATAAGGCATGAAAAAATAATTGATATTCAAGATCCTTTATATAAATACAGTAGTTGGAAAGAACAATAGCAATGAGTTATTAATGATTGTTGTTTATTTAATAAAAAACAATGTACTGTACTTTATTTAATAAGAAATTAATAAACAATATATTTTACTAATAAAGAAAATAACAATACATTTTATTAAATAAAGAATTATTAACAATACATTTAATAAATTAGAAAAGATTGAATAAAAAACTTAGATCAATGTTAATATATAAGAACTCTTTCTAAAAGTATTTAACATGCCAAGTACTTAAGATAAAAGTTATTGTGCTGAAAATGCAAATCCAAAATATTTGACTCTTGTCTTGTCAATCCTCTATTCTCACAGGATCACTTATTGAACACCAAGCTAAAGAAATGTTATATTTCTACTTGTGTACAGTGTCTTTTATCAGGAGATCTATGACAAAATGCACCAAGTATTGCCCTTTGGCTTATGACACACAAAGATTTCTGTTGAAATACAAGTACTTTCTTTATAGTGAACTCTCAATATAAGTATAGTTCTCTCGATTCAGTGAATTTACCCAAAATTTACTAATGGCTTCTTGATATAGTGAAGACAACTTCACAACCCGATCATTTCATTATAATGAGGTTACTTGTATTTAGTGCACCAATATTTCTGTCAAAAATTGAAAATTTCACCAAGAGTAACGAATTAGAAATAAATCGTAAGTTTTTAACTATGAAGATTGTTGTAATTAAAGCGCAAACCTAGTAATACTCAACTTTTCAGTAGTGCTTTCGATTTTCATAAAACTTCGTGCACATTTTTTACATTTACAATTATAATAGAACTTTGTCATTTTGAAATACTTATTCTAATATTTAGAAAATTAAAATGGTTCTAACAAATGCGCCAAATACTTTTGTCATGTTAATTAATGTTCGTATTAAATATTATTTTCGGTTTTAACGAAAACTTTAATCATCGTAAATCGGTATTATCTGAGCGGCTGCTGCCATGGCGATCATTAATTCTTTTTGGCCAATGAAATATTAGCGTAGATCATCACGGGACCGCAAATTTTTTATGTATAAAACTACTGCTACCATTTTTTTCAAAACATTTTTTGCTTAAGACACAAAAGTAATATATAGCTCTTTAAAGTTTATATTTTCTTATAACAAAAATTGATTTTTTACAATAAAAATTTCGAAAATTGGCATAAAAGTAAAACAGGTTAGTACTCTTTTTACAAACTGGTGGGATTGTAGAACTGGAAGCACACCGGGCCGCAGTTGGTGGAATGTTTAATACTCAATGTACTAAAGGCTGTCAACTACGAACGTCCTTCTGCAAACTTTATCATTTTGTCGAAGGAGTTGAAACACGTTGTTAGTGATTAATAGCAGAACCCAAGGGTTGTTCTTTGCTAGCGAGAAGGGCACTTGGACTGAGAGGGGGTACATACACAAACGGGGTTGTTGTGTGCCATTCGGCGAGTACGAGCCTGATTTTGCTATTGGTCATTAGATTAATATACCTGGCACGGTGCCTCACACAGGACCATGCCCAGTTACCCTAATTTTAACTGTTGGTAGTGTTTCACCTAATTCAGAAATAATACTGATCTTTTATTATTATTATTATTATTTTAGTACATTGTGACAAAAGAGATTGAGACAGCGGAACAATCGTCGAGTCGTCAACGTATAGATCAGGGCATTGAAAATAAAGACAACGATCAAATTCAAGATAATAATTTTAACAAATCAGAATCTGTAGTACATACTTGTAAACAAAAATGGAAACGTCCTATTTTAGAATGCAATATAGTTGTCAAGTGAGATGCTTTTAGATTTGCAGTCACACCATATCGATGAAGATTCACAATGTTAAGGTGGTCGGTGGTGGGAAATAACCCAAAAATGATTAATATTTCAACTCCACGAGTCGTACACAATCTTTTAGCAACAGTTCTCAAAGAGCATCCCAATGATGAGCTTCGATCTATTGCCACGATATTGCAACTACTTAGGCACCAAGGCAAAATTGTACAAGTGATTACGATATGACTGCAATCCTGCATTTTTTATTCTCAAATCATCCAAGAAATTACTACGACATGGATGTTTTAACAGCGTAATCAAATCTATCTTCAGGGTCGACTATTTTACTTTACAATACCATCCTCTCCTTAGAACATAATTGTGTACCATTTACAGAAAGTAATGTGGTCATAATAATTCTTTGCATAAGGCTATTCTTTTCAAATTGTGACAATTTATAATTAAAAATTTAATAGAGTTAAAACTTACCGGCCAAATTTGCAGGTATAGTAAAAACGTCATTTACATAAGCATTTGCAAAACTATTATCACCATCTAAATTTCTTGTATGATTAGTATTAGCGCATGAAGATGAATTCGATAAGGTTGATGA